ATTTTTTGAATTTATAACACTGATCACGGACGGAATTGGCATTTTGTCACCGCAGAAAATCATCATCCTGCGCAAGGCTAAAAGAAATAAACTTGTCCATAATCCATAAATGCTATTAATAAACACTTCTAAAGCATGTATTCTCGGTTGAAAATGATTCGTGAAATACATAAGTAAAAAAATATCAGAGCTGCCCTGAGCAGAAGGATATTTAAATTTCACGAGAACACTATTGAAGTTGTAAAGAACCAGTAAGTTGTAGTGACATACAGGCTTGAGGTATTTACCCAATATGATAGAGATAGCTGTATAGCTTAAAATATAAACTTTCTCTATCAAGTATAAACTGGAAGCAAAAAATGTCTATCTGACAATACATAACAGATTTGAAGTAAACCAGAAATTGGCAAAATCAGATAAAAAGATATCTGGCAAGTGGTTCTACCAACCTGGCTAGCAAAGTCAATAGACAAGTAACTAGACTGGGCCTATACTGTGGTAAAATTAGTCCAGGAGCATTTTCACTTAATAGGCAGCTGTGATTTTATTTCAGCCCAAATTTTTGATCGTTGTTCTTCCCAATCAAAATCGAGAATTTTCTGTGATGCGACAGCTAGGGTATTTCTTGCAATAATTGAATTAAGCAATAATTAAGATTTATATCAGCCAGGAAATAAAAAATTTGGCATCGGCTAGCCGGTCAGCTAAGCTGCTCTAGCCAACTATATCAGCTACAGCTAGCCAACTATAACCTGACCGGCTAATCTTGACTTAGGGGATGCTTGGTTATGAATAAAAAATAATCATATTAACTTACTGTAAATTACACATCTCTACAATTAGCTCAATAAATATACAGAAGATTTTATTTTTTTGCACATATTTCATACTAAAAATAATCTTATGATTATGCGTATTTTAAATGCTATGAACATTAAGAATAATTTATATTAAATGTTAGAAAAAACCAATTTTATAAAAATCAGTGATTTTCGGATAGGTACTGTGAATTTTATGCTACAGTTTTTTACATTTCTAATTACCAAAAATTGTTAATATGAACTATGTTGAATGGATTTCAGCCTCCGTGGACGAAATAGTCGGTTTTAACATTCTCTTTTAACGCACCTAGATTAGCCAATCGATCAGCCGCTTCGTTACCTGGAATTCCAACATGCCCCGGAACGTGAGTCTTTAAAATTTCATATCATTATTTTAATGAAATATATAAATTGTGCATGCGTTTAAACTTTAAAATGATAAAAAGTAATTACGAAAGAGACTTCTCCAGCTCTTGACCCAATTAATTCTATCAAACGAATAAATAAATCTTTATTTTTAACCGGTTCTCCACGTACACTCTTCCAATTATTTTTAATCCATTTAGGAATCCACGATTCACATGCTAAAATAGAATGAATTAATATTCCTTATATGAAATAAATAGACAGAGCATATCGGCGGATTTGCAGAATGGGTCTAAATTAAGGTTCCTGGAAATTTGGAGGCCAATTCCGCAAATTCGCCGATATGGATGCTTTACCATTTATAGTATATTTGCTATCAGTCTTTATTTCTAATGGAAGTTCACGGTCAGGGCAAGTTTCTAAAGCTCTAATGACGGCCTAGAGAAAAAGCATCACTTTGTAAGCATAATATAAAAGCTTATATTAATAAGTAAAAAAACAAATATATTTTCACCATTATTTCAGCTCTGTTATTTGTTTGTTTATCACCTGGTAATCTTTCTGATAGATTCCTGATTTATGAATTTCGATGCCATTAAAAAATAGTTCATATTAAAATTTATCAACTCTGAACGACATGAAATAATTATTAATATCCAAGCCTATATACAGTACAGTATACCTTGGATGATTAACACCCCCGATAGGGCCCGATCTCAGTTCTCGTGAGGTTTTTGGGGGTCCTGAACATTTTTACTTAGAGAACCCA